AAACTTAAAACGATTCCCTCGAAAGTATCTTCCAACATTTCCACGCTAATTATAGGTGGCGGTTTCGCACGCCTCTTGGCAGGAATGATCCCCTCGGCGACTTCGTCTAAATGCTCTCGATGTGTGGTACCGGCGCCCAGGATGGCAGCTAGTCCATCTTCGTCTCGCTGGACCTTCCCGATGTCCAGATTCCACTGCGAAAGTAAAACGCCTCAGGGTACACATCTCCCATCTGTCGTCTTGGATTTCATGATCCACTTCAGAACCGAGTGTCTAGTGTACACGATGAGAGGGTAACCCTGAATGAGTGTTCTGAACACCTCAGCACGGCGATGACCTCCTTTTCCGCGATGTGATTTCTCAACTCCGCATCGTGGAGAACACGACTCGTAAAACGCACTGGCTGGATCAAACCGTCATGTTCTTGACCCAGGACCGCACATGCAGCCCATTGATTTGCATGGGGTATAATAACAAACTGCTTGGTCCTATCAGGGTGCCTCAATACTGGGGTCGACACGATCTTATGCTTCAGGATTTCAAACGCCTGCTTTGCCCTGGATAGATCTCGCCCTGAACGCACTTGGTCATCTGAGAGCTCATACAGGGAGGCTGCAACCACGGGATAGTCTTCGATGAATTTATGATAATAATTCAGCCCAGGAAAGACTGCACTCCCTTCATTGTCGTTGGAAAAGGTAAATCTTGGACGCCTTTAGCTATCTTTGGCGTTGCCATGATTACCTCAGCACTAATCTTATGCGACCGATACGGGATGGACAATTTCCCGAACTCGCTCTTCGGCAAACTCACTGAGGTATTCCAATACCGTAGCCTGTACAGCAAGACGTCCAAACCAGCGCACAATGCATCCCAAGTCGGTGCGCCATGTGCGATATCATCGATATAAGGGCTGCGCCCTAAGACAGGTGACATCTGCGTCGGTGCAGGGATGTTCATCTTGAACACTGTAATTTGGTCCGCCAGGGTCGGTAACGACCGCGAAGTATGGTCGTCTTCACAACCGATACACCCGGGAGTGCTACACCCTGGAGGCCCGTCATTCTGGGGGTCCAGATTCAGGTAGTCCAAAACTTCTTGGTCTACTTCCATCTCCTTATCTGGTGGCAGACGCACGAATCCCCACAGGCAATTGTTGATCACCTGCTGGTAAATCAAATGTGCATTTTTTAGGCCAAATGACATTCGGATCCACTGAAAATGTCCAAACGGACATACGAAAGCTGAAATCAACTTGGCTCTTTCGGTCATCTTGATTGCCCAGAAACCGCTGGCCATATCCAGGCTCATGAACCAGAGTGCCTTCTCGAAACCGACTAGCAGGTCGTCGATGAGAGGTAGCGGGTAGCTAGACAGCTGGATAAAATTATTCACAAGTCGATAGTCAATACACATCCTGATGTCCACCCCATTTTGCTCGAGCACGATCACGATCAGAGATGCCCGCTGCGATTCTGAATGTTCAATCAAATTGTTCTCGAGCAATTTCTTGATGGGTTCGTATACCTTGACTGTCACGTGCGGTCCAATCGACCTTGGGCGCAACGCGATAGATTTGGCGTCTCCTACATCGAGGTCACATACCACCCCTCTGGCGGGAGTAGTTGCGGCATTTCCATCGCCCAGGAAAATCTTTCTATGACGCTTCAGGATTGCATGCATCCTGGATTCATCTTCAGGAAAGGTCTCACCTGGGACTCCCACATCGGCCTGATCGATGTCACATTCTGGGTGCAATTCGCTCAATTCTGGCAGCATGACCAACTGATCCTGCAATTGTGCCAGCATCTCGCTCCCTTCATGTATGTACACTCCTGGTTCCAAGTCCAGGTCCTCTGCGCTAATCCTCATACAGCGTTCGCATCTCCAACTTCTTGAGCGGTGTGCAGGACACTGGTTCTGGGGAAGATCCTGAAGTATCCTGTTCAGGGTGTACCACCGCGAGCGTTTCGCCGCCCTGGGGTTCCTTGAATTCAGTAGTCCATTCTGGAGGCGTTTCCACAAAGATATCACCTCGGTCATCGTCCAGGGTGTCGCCATCACC